CTGTTCCCCTCACACACACACACACACACACACACACAATGCGTTACTCTGCGCTGCGCAAACCTCCGCATTAGAACAGTCAGTAGCAAATACTTAAACTAGTAGCAAAACATACGTACAGTCGCTGATCCAGAATGTCATAGCAAAGTGGGAATTGACCCTTTTTTTTTTTTTTAAGAAATAGCCTTTGTGCACAGCCAGCCTTGTACTCTTCTAGGTTAAAAAAACTGTCGTCCATAAAATGCGTTGCACAAATTCGAACATCTGTGTTGTGCTGTTCTGTTGTAAATAAATCTTAACCAATGATTCCTAATTGCATCTACTTCCAGAAGGCCAAATAAAGTGCTTTTGCACTGAAACACAGCGTCTCCCTGACATGGCTGCATCAACACTACTGCTGTTCCTGAAAACAAGCCTTCTTTCTTTGCGTGCACATTTGGGTCGGCATTATGCAAATCTTCCCACATAGTGAGGTAGATATGTGGGGGCGTGTTAGAACGAGCCGTTTTAGGTAGGCGTGGCTGACTCTTAACTTTTATAAAGAATATCTCTTTGGATTTGAGACTTTAGTCTTTGCAACTTTACAGATCTTCTTTATGCACCAAGAGCTTGTAACACTCCAAAGAGAAAGGAGAAATTGAAATCGCATCATATGACCCCTTTAAGAAATGTGCATTGTGCACAAGTAGCACTCCAAATAAAGTTGAATTATAATTTTTTATATCAGTAAGTCTCGAGCGATATGTCAGTAAATATTTTAATAGATTTTTAACTATAATTAGTATGTAATAAATGTATTTTGGGGGAATAGATCACCCAAAAACTCTATAATTGCATGGAAAAAATGTGATCAGTACATTCCTAAAAATCAACAAGTGGTGTTATTGCTAACTAAAGCTAAAACTATTAAGCTGTATTCAAATAAAATATAATTATTAGATGAAAAACTTACACTTTAAATGCTTAAGCTACACTTACATTTAAAAGTAACTGAAACAAGTTTAAGTACAGCAATTGATAAAACTGTAAAAATAAAAGCTAACATAAAATCAAAAAATTAAAAAAAATACTATAATACTTTATATACTATTTTGGGTGAGCTATCCATTTAGAATTGCATGGAAAAATGTGAACAGTATAATCCTTTTGTGTTTTATGGGTTTGAAATGACTAATGCTGTTATTGTTATCCCAAACTAATAAACTATTAAAATAGCATTAAAATAGTTTTTTCTTTAATTGAAATAAAGCTGAAATAAAATATAAATATTAGATGAAGAACCTACACTTCTAACTAACTAAAACAAGTTTAAGTACTAAAATTACTAAAACTAAAATTAAACTGAATAGAAAAACAGCTATATAGAGAAATAATAACAATGACAAAACCACTTAATAAAATGACTCAAATGTAAACTAAAATTAAAAAGAAAACAAGTACTATAATAGTGTATAAATAATAATTCTGGAAACGGCATGATAGTGAGTAAATAATAATGTTCTAAATAAAAATATAAAACAATAATAATAAAAATGACAAAAGCACAACAAAATTACTAAACCTATTACTAAAAATGCTAATACTCTATAAATAATACTGGAATAGCAATGGAAACGATATGAGGGTGAGTAAACAAGTGATTTTTAGGTGAACTGTCCCTTTACATCAGTATAAACGGTTGTGTAATGCTTGTGCTTTGTCTCTCTGGCAGGGGTCTGATGAGGACAGTGCTATGAGCGTGTTCAGTGAAACCAACACAGTGACAGTTGGAGGTCTGATTCCAGGCTCCATCTACGCCTTCCAGATCCGTGCCCGGAATGAGAGAGGCTACGGACCCTACAGCCACACGATTTACTTCAGCACTCTAGCAATGGGTAGGCCAAGAATACAGCATGTCACACATAATTTAGCATTCCAGCCAATACGTATGAAAGCATATTATTATGCTTCAGTACCAAATGCTTCTTGTTCAGTAAGCAAAGGACCAATGCTTATGTAAATATTAGTGCTGTCAAACGATTATTTAAAAGTTTTTGTTTACATAGTATATGTGTGTGTACTGTGTGTATTTATTATGTATATATAAATACACACCCATGCATGTATATATTGAAGGAAAATATGTTACGTTTATATATTAAATATATTTATATATAATATAAATATTTACATGTAAATACATGTAAATATTTTCAAAATATATACTGTATGTGTGTGTATTTATATATACATAATATACATAGTACACACACATATATTATGTAAATAAAAACTTTTATTTTGGATGTGATTAATCACAATTAATCGTTTGACGGCATTCGTAAATATACACTAATTCTGAGATTTCCAACTTTTTTGTCGGACAAACTCCTAGGACAAATTATTTTCTTAAAGAACAAAAGTAACAAATTTCACAACATCCTAATGTTAACAATTGCAATTAACAATTAACAACTCATTATTTTTTAAGTAATTTAAGATTTAATTTTTATATTTTGACAATTCTGTTCAAATGGGGTCAGTAAGGGTTTTATTTTTTTTTTTGGAAATAAATTATTACTTATATTCAGGATTCAAGGATGCATTGAATTGGTCAAAACTGACAGTAAAGAATTATATTATTACAAAGAAATTATAACTTAAAAGCTTTCTTTTGAACTTTCTATTCATCAAAGAATCCTGAAAAATATAAAAGCAGTTTCCACAAAACTATTAAGCAGCACAAATGTTTTCAACATTGATAATAATAAGTAATGTTACTTGAGCAGCAAATCAGCATATTAGAATGATTTCTGAAGGATCATGTGACACTGATGACTAGAGTAATGATGCTGAAAATTCAGTTTTGCATCACAGGAATAAATTACATTTTAAAATATATTCAAATAGAAAACTTTTATTTGAAATTCAAAAATATTTGACATATTTTCAGTTATTAATTTTGTTTCATTTAATTTTGTATTGCCATTTTTTCACTTTGTAGAGGAACAGTCAAAGCAGATTCAGAATCGCCTGCCTCTTATGATTGGATCGATAATGGGTGGAGCAGCGTTTCTATTGGTTGTGACTGCCATCATCATTGTGTTTGTGTTTCGAAGGTATGTATTGTGCAATATATGTAGATATTACGAAGATACTAGTAGATATTACAAAAAAAGTACAAAAAGAGGCTTGTTTCTTGCATATAAAAGATTAAAAGAATATCACTGTTATTGTGTCTTTGTTATTCTGCCTTTTTTCCACTAGTAAAAGGAGAGAAAGCCCTTATAGCGACAGACTTCAGAGATACATCAGCAACAGAGGTGAGGGCTTTATATGTGAACTGCAGTGCATACTTGTGTACATTTCTCCAACAGTCACTACATGTACATTATCTTCATCTTCTAAAGTGGGCTGCATTCAGACTACTTTGTCATTATTGCTATTACGTAATAGCTATGATTCAGTAAAGTACTATGTCTACACCACAATTAAGAGGGGTTTGTGAGAATTTTGCTATTTTGACAAAGGATGATAAATGTGCCGTGTCAGTAGTTTTTATGTTTGTAGTCCTGACTGTGGTGCACATATTTGTGGTATTACTTTATTCCCCCTGACATTTCGAGCCGCCTGGCAGCATGTCTGTGACAGAACCAGTCATTAGATGGTCTGTGTGGATTAAACATAATATGGATGTTGTTACTTATTCAGGTGGGGTGAAATATTATGTGGACCCCTCTACTTACGAAGACCCCAGTGAGGCGGTCAAAGAATTTGCACGTGAAATCGACCCTGCTCACCTAAAGAGCGAAGAAGTCATTGGTGCTGGTTAGTACATGTGTTGAAAGTTTGTTGATTTTCCAGAGGCAGGATAACAACAGCTTGACACGAAGTGTATAAATCAGATAAAACAAGCATTATGGATTTTTTTTTTTTTTACCTCAGAACACTCTTCTCTCTCTAGCTCAGTTCGGGGAGGTGTCCCGTGGCCGGTACAGGCCACTAGGTCGTAGAGAGGTGCTGGTTGCGGTTAAGACCTTGCGTTGGGGAGTGACAGACCGTGAGAAGAATGTGTTTCTCAGTGAGGCCGGAGTCCTTGGCCAGTTTGACCACCCTAATGTACTGAAACTGGAAGGTGTGATCACTCGCACCCCTCCTGAACGGATTATCACAGAGTTTATGGAGAATGGACCCCTGGATGCCTTTCTCAGGGTAAGAACAAATGACATGATGTTACATTCTATTCAATTATTTATTTATATAAGAGAAAAAAATTTATTATTATACATTATTATATGTTATTTTAAAAATAACAAGATGAAATTTAAGTTAAATTATCACAGAGTTTATGGAGAATGGCCTTGGATCTCAGAGTAAAAAAATTTAAATATATTACATTTAATTCTATTTAATTTTTATTTATATAAATGAAACAAATTGTTGCATTATATATCATTGTAATATTCTAAAATATTATTTAGAAAAGGACCAGTTGAAAGTCAAGTTAAATTATCACAGAGATTGTCCCATAGATGCTTTTCTCATGGTAAGAAAAAAGGCAGGAAAATCAACTATATATATATATATATATATACTGAACAAAATTATCAACGCAACACTTTTGTTTTTGCCCCCATTTTTCATGAGCTGAACTCAAAGATCTAAGACTTTTTGTATGTACACAAAAGGATGTTAAGACGATGGACTGCAGTCAGGTCAAGACCCCGATGAGGACGACGAGCATGCAGATGAGCTTCCCTGAGACGGTTTCTGACAGTTTGTGCAGAAATTCTTTGGTTATGCAAACCGATTGTTGCAGCAGCTGTCCGGGTGGCTGGTCTCAGATGATCTTGGAGGTGAAGATGCTGGATGTGGAGGTCCTGGGCTGGTGTGGTTACACGTGGTCTGCGGTTGTGAGGCCGGTTGGATGTACTGCCAAATTCTCTAAAACTCCTTTGGAGACGGCTTATGGTAGAGAAATTAACATTCAACAGCTCTGGTGGACATTCCTGCAGTCAACATGCCAATTGCATGCTCCATCAAAACTTGCGACATCTGTGGCATTGTGCTGTGTGATAAAACTGCACATTTTTGAGTGGCCTTTTATTGTGGTCAGCCTAAGGCACACCTGTGCAATAATCATGCTGTCTAATCAGCATCTTGATATGCCACACCTGTGAGGTGGATGGATTATCTCGGCAAAGGAGAAGTGCTCACTAACACAGATTTAGACAGATTTATGAACAATATTTGAGAGAAATAGGCCTTTTGTGTACATACAAAAAGTCTTAGATCTTTGAGTTCAGCCCATGAAAAATGGGGGCAAAAACAAAAGTGTTGCGTTTATTATTTTGTTCAGTGTATATATATATTTATTTATTTATAAATAAAATATATTATAAAATGACAGGAAATTAAGTTAAATGATTTGTGTTCATATAAATAAAATATATTTATCTTTATAGTATTACATTATTTAAAATTACAAGATGTTTTACATAAAACATTTCTGAAAAATACATTAAATTAAAAATGCATATTCATAAATTTGTAATTTTTATTTTTTAGGAAAACGAGGATCAGTTCAGCGTGTTGCAGCTGGTAGGCATGTTGAGAGGTGTTGGAGCTGGAATGCGTTATCTTTCAGAGAGAAATTTTGTCCATCGTGACCTTGCTGCCCGGAACATTCTGGTGAATTCAAACCTGGTTTGTAAGGTATCTGACTTCGGCCTGTCCCGTTTAATGAGGGGTCTGGACCACAACATGCCCACCTACACTGCTTCACTGGTGCGTTATGGGAAATTTTCTGTAAATGTACAAAACACTATTTAAATGAATGTATGTAAATTCCTTTCATTTTTAGTTCTTTCCATTGTTGCTCTGAGTTTTTTTGTTCATTTGTGTTGTCGTTGATTTAATTATTCCCTCTGTCTTTCAGGGCAGTAAGATCCCAGTGCGGTGGACAGCTCCTGAAGCTTTCCAGCATCGTAAATTCAGTTCAGCGAGTGACGTCTGGAGTTTTGGGATACTCATGTGGGAGGTCATGTCATATGGAGAACGTCCATACTGGGACATGAGCAACCAAGAGGTGAGCATTATAAATTTTACATCCCATGCAGTGACAAAGCAGTTAAATGAACCAAATGTACACTAGAGGGAGCTATTAGAATGTTTCATGAGCAGTTGCATAAACAAAACACAGAATAGTACAGTGTGTTTCTGAGTGTTTACCTGGTATTCCCTACATTATGAGGACCAAATGTCCTCACAAGTATAGTAATACCAGTACAATTTGACCTTGTGGGGACATTTTTTTGGTCCCCATTACGAAAACAGCTTAGAATCAAGATATTGATATCATATAGAATCAAGTGTTTGTACAGTATAAAAACCATTACACCTATAGAATGTCCCCAGAAAAAAATAGAAAAGCAGTGTGTGTGTGTTTGTGCTGTGTTTAAATCACTGCTTGAGATTTAAAGTTTGCAGCAGTACTGTGGGAGTGTGACATTTAGCAGATTTTACAGTATTTTTTAGAAAAGTTTCTAGCCGACAGCTAGAAATGTAATGACCTCAATAGGTGTATATTCACATGTTGAATAAATAGTAAAACATTAAACGCATAGTTTTTCAGCTGCTTTGAATCTGGAAGTATTTTTCCCATACCTTTTCTTGATAGGGATTTCGAAGAATGATTCAATAAAGAGCTCTAAGACATGAACCAAGCCAACCAGCACTAAGACTTTGATTTGCAGCAAAAAGAGTATTTGAACATTTATTAACGAATATCCTGTGAAGTGAATGACACAATCCAGTAAAAAAAAAAACTTTTTATTTTATGTGATGATATAAAACATGTGAATTGTGCAAATATCTTACTAAATGTTTTTTTCCCATCTTATTCCTCTTTTCTAACTCTGTTCTTTCTGTTTTTCAGTTCCTTTTTCCTCCAAATCACTTGTCTACTCCCTTCTTTTGTATTTCTCGTCTTATACAATTAAACACTTCACTAAGGCCACATACACACAGTAAAATTTCAGGAGTGACAACCGTATTTAAATACGGGAGTGAATCCCCTAAATTATCATTCCGTGATATGTTCTGCAACTGTAACTAAACCAGGTTGTAGAATGTGTTTGTCACTTAGCTGCAGTGTGTAGAGAGATGTGTCATCTCTTTTTCTCTAGGTGATGAAGGCAGTGGTTGAGCAGTACCGTTTACCTGCTCCGAACGGTTGTCCTCCAGCTCTTCACTCTCTGATGCTGCAGTGCTGGCAGGCCGACAGACAGGACCGGCCAGGCTTTGATTCTCTCCTGTCGTCTCTTGACCGTCTCATACGCCACCCTGCCTCCCTGAAGGCCGAACACAGCCGGTGAGTTACTCGAGTTACCACCTTATTTTACCAGGTGATTCTGCATTTCATCTTTTCAAATATTCTCCTCTTTCTTAGTCCCACCCAGCCACTCTTAAGCCCCACCCCTACTGACCTCTCAACAGTGACAACAGTCGGTGATTGGCTGACAGCTCTAAAGATGGACCGGTATAAGGATGCGTTTGAGAGAGCACAGTACCACAGTCTGGAAAGAGTGAGCATGCTCACAATGGAGTACGTTAAAACACACTTTTCACATGAGTTTGTCCAACACATTCATACATCACAGAATAATGTATTTTTTGTTACATTATTTCAGAAAGAACTAAAAATTCTTACCACAGTGTCATTCGTGCCACATCTCAAATGATGTATTGTGTTTAATAGCATTCTCTAATGGGCAATTTTATACATTATAAACACACTCACTTGAATCATATTTTCACACTTCTTGAATAATTTGACATTTACTTTCTTTTTCTCTTTCTCATATTTCATTCCTGACACTGCTGTCTCTTTGGTAAACAAGTACATCAACTTTTTCAAAAGCTCAAGAAGCCTCTCAACAGTCGGTGATTGGCTGACAGCTCTAAAGATGGACCGGTATAAGGATGCGTTTGAGAGAGCACAGTACCACAGTCTGGAAAGAGTGAGCATGCTCACAATGGAGTACGTTAAAACACACTTTTCACATGAGTTTGTCCAACACATTCATACATCACAGAATAATGTATTTTTTGTTACATTATTTCAGAAAGAACTAAAAATTCTTACCACAGTGTCATTCGTGCCACATCTCAAATGATGTATTGTGTTTAATAGCATTCTCTAATGGGCAATTTTATACATTATAAACACACTCACTTGAATCATATTTTCACACTTCTTGAATAATTTGACATTTACTTTCTTTTTCTCTTTCTCATATTTCATTCCTGACACTGCTGTCTCTTTGGTAAACAAGTACATCAACTTTTTCAAAAGCTCAAGAAGCCTCTCATGGGCACCAAGGCTGCATTTGTTTGATCAGAGACTATAAAGATCAAAGGAACAGCATTTATTTGAAATCGATCTTCTGTAACGTTATAAATGTCATAACTGTCACTTTTGATCAATTTAATGCATCCTTGGTGAATAAAAGTAATCTTTTAAAATAAAGATAATGATCCCAAACGTTTAAGCAGTAGTGTGTAGATCTATGTAGAGTTATAAAGTAAATATAGAATTATTGGTTTGTTTTTATTTCATTCTTTGCTTAGATTTGTTTTAAAATGTAAGGAGTCTTATTTTTATCATTTTATTTGTATTTTAAGTAGGGCTGCACAATTATGACAAAAATCATAATTGTCGATTATTCCCTTGAAATTGTAATTGCGATTATTAATTACGATTATCACAATTTACATTGAATGATGTTTATCCCATTGTTTGATGCAACTGCATGCCGCATTTTTATATGAAAATAAACAAGCTGAAAACACTCTAACTGAAAAACCTTTAGTGCTTTTCTATAGTATTAAGCCTCAAATGTCAACTATACATCGGATTGGTTTCTTCTTTCAAATATTCTTTAAAAATATGAATGGTATTATAATGTTATACTAAAACTAAAACAATGGAAAAACCCTTAAGATAACATGTAGAAAGAAAAAAACATATCTTAAGCATGCAGAATAACATAAGTGGACTTTGAACGATTAATTGCCGCTTTGAACGATTACATAATTGTGGCGTCCATAATTGTAATTGCGATTAGAAATTAGATTAACTGTGCAGCCCTAATTTTAAGACTAAAGGTCTGGGTTACCTGTTAGTTATCTATACATAAAGATCTATCCATAAAAAAATCTATTTCAGTTGAAGAAACATTCATTTATTGTTTCATGTTTCTGTGTGAGTGCTGTGAATATAATAATGCATCACTTTTCTCTCAGGGATGTTCAGGCTCTAGGAGTGAATCTGCTCGGTCATCAGCGGAAGATCGTAAATGCAGCTAAGCAGCTCAGGACACACCTCACTCAGGGACATGTGGAGGTCTGATGCTTCCCAAATTGTGTTGACACTGCAGTGCATGCTGGGAGATCGAGTCCACAAGAACACTGGAATAGACATGAGGATGACAAAAGGAGTCTTGAGTGAAAAAGAAGATTTTTATGATGAATTATTTGCCCATCAGTCCCACGCTTTCTTGCTGAACTGTTGTCTTCCATATTCTTCTTTCACTTACTCCCTCCTTCGGTGTTGCACTACCTCTCACTTTCTTATCAGTTCACTACTTACTGGCATTCAGTATGAACTTGAGCCTTAAGAACACAAAAAGAAAGCTCCTTCACAATCAGTTGCAAGGACAATCAGAGACTTTAAATGGATGGTAGCTGACTGTTATGTCTTTGTTGGCACGTGTTGGTCAAGGGCACTAGATGTTTTAGTTTTAACTACACAAACAAACAATACTCATATTGATCAATAAACTGAACCCCACAAGTACACTTCTAAAAGTCATGTTTATAATAAGCATTTTACCTTGCTTTCCAGTAAAAATATCTGAGAGCTTATCAAGTTTTTGTTAAGGATGTGTTAATATTGTTTTCAGAAAATACACACTACTGAACAAAGGTTTGGGGTCAGTGAGATTTAAATGTTTTTGAAAGAAGACTCTTTTGCTCACCAAGATCAGAAATACAGTAATATTGTAAAATACAATCACAATTTAAAATAAAAGCTGAATATTCAGCAGTTCACACTGCAAAAAAGGCATATCTTACTTAGTATTTTTGTCTTGTTTCTAGTCAAAATATCTAAAAATTCTTAAATTGAGATGCATTTACTAGATATGCAAAATGATTTCCAGCATTTTGCTTAAAATAAGTAAAATTATCTGCCAGTGGGTTAAGTAAAATACTTCATTAATACCCCCCCTGCTGATTTGGTGATCAAGAGACATTATAAGTGATGTTGAAAACGGTTATGATATTTTATATCATAAATATTTTTGTGAAAACTGTAATAATTTTTGTTTTCAGGATTGTTGGATGAATAGAATTTTCAAAAGGACAAAATTTATTTGATATATAATTTTTGTAACAATTTAAAATCTTTAATCAGTTTAAAAAAAAATCTTACTGGCCCCTAACTTTTCAACAGTGTATGCATAGTCTCTCAGTATCTCTAGTTTAGTGTCACTTTTAAACAATTTAATAACAAAAATCTTATTGACACCAAACTATTTGGCAATGGTGCAAGTAGTATAAAAGTAGTATGTCTTTCCCAAGACATAGGCAATAAAAAAAAATCATAATATGCTTTTTGAGTAAATGTATTTCGTTTTATGGATGTTATTTTTACTGGAAAATAAATAAAATAAAGACAAATAACTAACATAAAGAAAAAAGAATTTTGCGCTGTATGCTTTATGGTGTATAGTGTTGTAGAATCATACAATACTTACAGTAAGTTATTCAGACACAAATGGTAAAGTTTTTGTATCAGTCGTACACTGCGGCCACGGTAGTTCACTGCTTACCTGTGATGTTCCACTTTCTCACCTGTGAACCAGTTTCCCGCCACCAAGTCCTGTCCACGAGTAGACGTGTTCCTGTAAATGACTATTTCACCCCTGAAACAATGTAGCATAAAATCACACTGTAATATACAAGCATTGTGAAGTAGGTGTTACAGTAAACGTGATTACAATTGCTGGGTGAAGTGAAAGAGAGAGAGATGTGCTCCTTGTGCATAGTGTGTGTGTGTGTGTGTGTGTGTGTGTGTGTGTGTGTGTGTGTGTGTGTGTGTGTGTGTGTGTGTGTGACAGATTTCCCGCCACCAAGTCCTGTCCACGAGTAGACGTGTTCCTGTAAATGACTATTTCACCCCTGAAACAATGTAGCATAAAATCACACTGTAATATACAAGCATTGTGAAGTAGGTGTTACAGTAAACTTGATTACAATTGCTGGGTGAAGTGAAAGAGAGAGAGATGTGCTCCTTGTGCATAGTGTGTGTTTGTGTGTGTGTGTGTGTGTGTGTGTGTGTGTGTGTGTGTGTGACAGATTTACAGTATGGATGAAACTGTTTGGTGCTGCTGAAAAAAAGTGTGAATAGATTTCTGTGTAAAATAAAATGCAAAAAGGGAGTGTATGATCATGCTGATGTCAATTTGAATCTGTTTGATTGTACAGTTGTTCACCACTGTTCCACTACTGTCCAAATTTGTAAAATATATATGAGTTTGTTTAAAGATGCCTACTGTATTTGTTTACATCATCTTAAACCACAAAAAGTCTGTACTCATCACGTTGCTGATATGTCTGTCTTGTTTGCCATAAACAGCACAGAGTCAGCAGCATGACACATATCAGACACTGATCAGTGTGCGTCAGCTTTACTTGAAAGTGGACAAGATTCTCAGTATGAGATCAGAGTATGATCTGATAGGGGTAATGAACACAAAGTCCACATATACACAAAATAACTATTTTAAATGGAAGTTAAAACACGCAGCTATTTCTGCTGTGTCATGTTAATATGCCATGTTTTAAATGGCATTTTGCTAATTTGCATAATTATAATTATGCATGCATATACTCTGAGAGACTACATTAACTGGATATATATATATATATCAACTAAACTAAATGCTGCTCTTTTAAACTTTCTATTCATCAAAGAATCATATATATTCCATAAAAATTTTTAGAAACCTAAATAAAAAAAGAAATGGTGACATATTATGCCTCATCTACCCTTACATGTTGCAAACAACATGCACACCCACTTGTTTTGGTCGCCAAACAAGTGTTACTCTGTGAATTGCTGCTGATTATTGTAAATATTTGCTGTGACAGCATCACACACTGCAGCATATAGGTTAGTGAAAAGCATCCTGCAATAACTTGTATTATTCCAGGCGCAAAAATGACCAAAACTCTGCATTCCTGCTGCACTCTGACCTTGGTGAACTTAACTGAAACTGTCCATTAAATTTTTTGTAACAAAATAAGTTGTTTGCAATCCTTTGTGGTAGGCAGGATGAAATCACACACACTAATTTGGACATTGAAATCTTACAACATCGTAACATAAAAAAAAACACCCCAAAAGAAGTCAAAGTAAAACACATGCCTTGGGTATCAGGCTGTTCTTTGAAGATCTAAAATAATACACAGCAAATATGTGCTTTTTAATGCAAAACAACACATGACTGAGTCAACTGGAAGAAAAGAAAAAAAACATCCATTACTTCACAATATGCGGTCCAACTAACAGATAGTATCCCGTACTGCGTTTCTGAGCCCTTTACACGCCATTTAAAACACTTTTGGCCAACCATTATGACTCATGTACCTGACCATTGTTTGTCTTTCACACCATCCAAACTCCTTTACATTAGTTAGTAACATTTAGCCAAATGTAAAACTTTTGTGAATGTATAGCTACATTCAGTGTTAATATTGAAAATATATCAGGTTTCACTGATGTCCCCACCGACAAGGTTCTCTTGGTTAACCAAAACACTTATTTCTTCTTTGTGATGTAAACATACAATTAGGCCTTGTTTTTTAGGTCTCTGGTGTTTGACCACTATGTATTATGCCTTAAATTACCCTATATTACACAGCCACTCTCTGATGTTGTTATTGCATAATGTCCTCTTAATCACTCATTTTTCCCAGAAATGCCAGTAGCTGCATGCGTTTTCTAAAATGTTTTTAAAATCTCAGTAAAAATGTGTTTTATTTATGGCAACAATTGTTACCAGCAGAAACGGCATAGTCTAAAATTCCTCAATAACACCCAATTGAAAGCTGCAAACAATGAAGTAACATTTTATGCATTCAGTTAGACTATTTGTTTGTTTGTTAATTACTATAAGGCAGTTATGGTAAAGTCAAAATATATAAGCTAGCCATTGCCATAGCTGCCTGGGCAACTTTGTGTAAATATTTATTTTTTCTTATGTTATTTAAGAAATATTTAGATTCTTCAAGCTGAATTTTTGGTCAAAAATGTCACCGGTTAGATTAAAACAATATAGCAAGAAACAAACTAAACATTTCTTGTCAGTGAAACTAGGCTACTCAACGGTTAATAACGCCGTGTGGTGTTTTGCATTAAACTAGACCTCATATGTTTCGCTGGTTCAGACAGCTTGACAGATTTTTTGGTAGTTTACTACAAGTAAACATCTTGGAACGACGTGCAAAACACCATTAGGCGACTTTTAGTGGGGCAAAACATAAGTGGTCAGTCCTGTTACATTGAAAGACGTGAGAACAATTACGAAATAATCTTGAAAACCGGTTTATGCCTTGACCTGGTGTGGTGGTATCTGTCTGACCAGTCCTTCACCACATTACTGAGAGAAGTAGTCATGTAGTCTGTTGCTGGCTATTATAGAGGAAGACTCTTTGGTTTTTGAGTGGATTTAGGACTGAATGATCCAGTGTTAGCGTTCAGTGGAGAAGAACAAACGCTCGTTGATCGGACGTTGGGCCCTGGACCTCAAAACCTACCACGCTTCAATAAAGGTACATTTTCCGGCCAATGAAGGTCGTTTTGACTCATCTGGAACATCCTGGTATCCGTCAGCTGGTTTGGGACAGGTTTGCTGTACATTTATCTGACACAGTGCTTTTAAAAGTGTTGACTGATATGGTTTTGTTTCAGGTAGGCTACGCAGTGGAAGATGATGGGTGAGGACCGAAAAATATGGACAACGGACCAATCTCGCCACTCCATAGAGGTACATCGTGAAGAAAGCCCATAGATGTCCACTTTAGTACAAATCATCTTTAAATAAATAGCTAGCCTACTTAAAATAATAAAACAACAATTAGTAGTTCCAAAAGAAATCCAAAGAAAGTAACACATCTTTAATAAGAAGATTCAAAGTTAGTAGGCTAATTGTAGGCTAGTTCAGAGACTTTTGTATAGCCTACTGGAGAACAACATGTTTATTAGCTCGCATGTAGCTAGAGCTAGCATCACTTCAATCACTTGTAGCCTTAACTTGTACACCAAACTTATTAACACACAAGGGGGTACTCCAGCACAGGATAGAGCTTCCTTAAACACATTTTAAACATGTATTAACTAATTGGATCGTGCATAAGTTATCTACAGTAATTAAGTTGTTAACACATTTAGGCTATATTAGGCTACAAACACAAGTATTTAACATAACTGTCCCAATCAGTCCCAAACTACATTGGGTCACTGGGCACCTAAAACCCTCTGAATCCTTTTCTGCTGTCCACCTGTGTGACATCCTCCACCCTCCTTTCCAGACTCAGCTATAAGTATAAATACTGATGTCAGGCTGCTTAGCTTTGTATTGTCCACTGACAGTCAAACAAACATGCTGTACATCAATTACTAAAAATAACATTGGAATAACATATTAAGGATTTTTGTAAGGTAGGTGAATATTGCTTTGAATGCTGGCATCTTTGGGACAGCATTGTAGCAAGTGCATATATAACCGATTGCTATGTTTTGAAAGTGGATCGTGGTTGCTTTTCTGCATTTAAAAAAAATGTGGAAGATGAATCATTTTAACCTAGAAATGTGCTTCATGTGTTAAATTCGAGTCAAATATAATACTAAAAATCGTAGTTGTAGTAATAGTAGGAGTAAAATATATTAGT